GGACGACCTGGGTTCGCGCGCGACCCCGTGTGAGCAGCCGCCGCCTCTGGGCACGCCCCGCCGCGCCCCGCCGCGCCCCGCCCCCGGTAGACAAGGCCCCCGGAGCGAAGTGGAAACAGGACTTTGGCGGTGGCGTCTTTAATCAGTTAGTTGCCACTTCACCTCTAAACTTTCCGACCGAGCGCGCTTTCCCTCAAGCCCCTCTCCCTGTCTCTTTCTCCCCCTCTCCCCGCCAATCATTCTTCCTCTCTCCTTCCAGCCCGGCCTTCCCCGAGCACGGCCCTCAAAGTCCACACCGTTCTCTTGGCGCGTCCACTCCGTCCACCCCTTCTGCTGGCCGTCGCTATGGCAACGCGAGGACGTCCGTCTGCGATCAAGTTTGCTTTTCGCGTTGCGCCAACTTTGGAGCCGGGCTTCGGACCGGGATTGTTGGGGGGGGGGGGGGCAACTAGGTGCCCACCACACCCCAAGTGCACGGCCAAGCACACTGAAAAAAGTTTAGGAAGCATCTGCAGATACTGCATGACTACGAAGAAAATGAAGGCACGCTCCAGTAACACTCGACGAATGTTGAGAGCCGATGAACTGGGTCCCTTTCGCGTTTCACGCTGATCCGCCGGAGCCGTCGGATACGCCGAGAGTTTGAGCAGGCTCAATCCATTTGTCTCCGAAAAGTGTCTCAATATGTCAGGACCTAGACAGATCCCGAGAGTTGTTTTCGTCGCTCCGTAAGGGACGTCCGCGAGTGCGAGAGAGACAGGGCGACGGGGGCCACGCGAGACCTCCACCGGAGCCCTTCTAATGGGGCGGCGCCGCGGGCCGCTTTGACGAAGCCGCAGCTGCCGGGGTGGGTAAAAGATTTAAAGCGGATCATTGCGAGGAGGGGGGGGAGGGGGCTCCGTCTCGCGGGATGTAAGGCCTGTAAGGGCCATCGATCCGACTGGCGGGACATCATTCTTTGTTCTGCTGGAGACGGCACACACACACACACGAGCACATTTCTCAGCAGGTGAAGCGACACGTGGGACGTGCACAAGGGACAGAGAGAAGAAGCCTCGCCGTACGAAAAAAAAGGAAAAAGAAGACCACCTCTCTGTTGCACTCACTGCTGCGAGTGTCGGGGAGAAAGGGAGGGAAGATGCTTCGCGACGCGGCTCCGTGTTGGGCACGGCGTGGCACGGCGTGGCACGGCGTGGCACGGCGGCGAGGCGAGAGGCAAGACCGCGGTGCAACCAGCACACAAGGGCGGCTAACGAGCGTCCCGGACACCGATTCCGAAAATCATTTTCCGTCTCTCTCACCCTTGGACGGGACGCCCCATGAGTGCGAGAGAGACAGGGCGACGCGAGCTCGCTGGAGCGTGCACTGGAGGACCCTCCGCTCCGCAATCGCTGCATGTATCCGCGTCATATGCGCCGGCACGGCCCGGCACGCCCAGCAGGCGCGCTGTCTCTCTCGCACTCGCGGGGGCGTAACGGGTCCCGCGCGGGTGCGAGAGAGACAGAGCGACCGCAGGCAGCCGAGGGTTTCGAAATAATTTCCTCGGAGCTCTCTTTGCGGCCGTCGGCAGGGATCTCGCTGCCTCGGAGTGGTACACTAGTACAGTATGAAGGCGGAGCGCGCGGCGCGCAGCGGCCGGGCCGAGACCCACCGAGCTGCTGCTCGTCTGCGCGTGTGTGTGTGGCTGGGAGGGGGCACGTTCTCCTCGGGGGTAGCGAGATGGGGTGCAGTGCGCCAGTTTTAGGAGGGGGTAAGGGGAGGGGGTTCGCCCCGGGAAGGGGGAGGGGCAGGGGCAGAGGCAGGGGTCAGCAGAGGGGGATCAAGGCTATGCAGCGCTACTTGTAAAAAGGGAGGGATAATCCTGGTCGCCCCTTTCGCTGCTCACGGGCGGATGGCCCGGATGGCACTGTGGCACTGCAAAGTGGCACCCGGGGGAGCGTTTGAGGGGGGTGGGGGAGCCAGGACATTCCAACTTCTGTACACGCACTAAAAGAGAATACATTTTTTGATGCAAGACGTTTTCACCGGGGCCTGACAGAAATTCTTAGCCCAGTTGGAAAGAAAACGAACCAAGAAGAAACTGGAAGTCATTTTCCCGAGCGCGCGCCCTTGGCCGTCCTTCCCTGTGCGACGCGTGCGGCGAGGGCAGAAGAAAAACGGTGAACCAGTGATGAGTTTTGGGCCCGAAACTTGCCAAACATTGTGTTGCCGTCCGAAGTGATGGCCGCTGCCGATAACGACAAAGCCCGACCGACGCCGGCCCGATTCCGAACTGAATCGCTCCTGCCTCTTTCGCGCCCCCCGCGGACCCCGAGAGTGCGAGAGAGACAGAGCGACGGTTTCGGAATCCGCCCGCAGGCCAGGCCTGGCCGTGGCAGGTCGTTCTGGCTGTCATTATATTCGGGATAGACACGCGTCACGCGCCTTTTTTCCGCAGCACTAGCCGATGCCGTCTCTCTCGCACTCGCTGCCGCCTGTGGGCGCGAGGGAGACAGGACTAGGGCCGCGCGGATGAGAGCATGCCGCCCCCGTCCGAGCCATTGTCCATCATCCTCTTGGTGACGGTGCGGGCGTGGAGGGCGCCCAGTCGCTCTGTCTCTGTCGCCCTCACGGGTCGTCCGCTTCGCGTCGCTTCGCGTGCGGGAGAGACAGTGTGCCCGGCACACAGCATGCGCGTCTCTCGGCAATGCAGTGGCCGGTGCAGACAATTGAATGGGCCTGGCAGGCTCGCCGCGTACGCCGTGCAACCTGTTGCCCGCGAGAGCCGCTCAAAGCACTGCGAAGCACCGCCATGGCACCGCCATCGTCCGGCGTGCCGATGTCAGTCCAGAGACGCGCGGTGCGGCGTGGCGTGGCGTGGCGGCATCGAACCAACTCGCCTCTGAGTCAACACACCGACCTTGCGCAACACTCGGCCCGTCTTGCTTTCTGTTTGCCGCCTCAGTGGCCCCGCCCCCCACCGCCCCACCCCCCGGCTATAGGAAACAACCCCCGTTCGCAACACCCAGAAAAGGACCGGAGCAAAATGACTGAAACTCCGCAAATTTTCCTCCAGCGAGGGATACAGAATCACGAGAAATACTGTTTTGTGGCTTCATTCGTTGGAATCCAATAACGTGGCGGTGCTGTCTACTTTTTCGCGCTTCTTCAACCCAATTAAGAGCGGCAGTCTTCTCTCTCGCACTGGTGGGGCGTCCCGCAGGCCCCGCATGGGTGCGAGGGAGAGGGAGGGAGAGGGAGGAGGCAGAACAGCCTGCCGCTACGTCACGGCCGATGGGGCGCATCGTCTGGGTAATTAATCCGATTACTCTGGAGCGCCGATGAAGAAGCCAGCAGGAGTCGTTTCGTCGCTCTGTCTCTGTCGCACTCATGGGGCGTGCCGTGGGTCCGTAGGGGGTGCGAGAGAGACAGCGCGACACTCTTCGGAATCGCTCAGCAAGACCGGCACACCTCCGCGCTGCTGCCACCTGGCTGCCTGCCAGGGAGGGGAAATAATGACTTTGATATTTCCCTCCCTCAGTTTTTCTCGTGTATTTCGTCCCAGTGTTGTCTCAATTTGGCCGTTACTGTTATTCGTCTCGCTGACGATGGATGTTTCCTCCTCTTTGCCAGCGTCACAATTCAATTTACTCTACCGTGTCCATTTTGATTTTGTTTTTCGCTGAGAAAACCTTACAAACTATTTTAGGCCTTACAAAGAAAAGCAGCTTGTTATGACAAAGTATTTTGACCATAATAAGCTAACAAAGAAAATACTTCGTAATTTACAAACTATTTCTTCGTATAACAAAGTAAATTAGTTTATAACTGTATGCTCAAAATGACTGAAGGGCGAGGCATCCCACCCGAAACATGATCCTGATCACGATTCTTCCACCCCCTTCTTTGCCGGCGCTGCCTGCCTGAAGCTCCAGCTTGCCCTGCTCGCGAGACAGCGACCTATAACGCCAGCATCCCGCCGCCTTTTCTGTTAGAGTTTCATTTAAAATTAAAGCAAGTTTGCACGGATGAGATACGAAAAAGAGCCAGGAGGTCGACGGTGAGCCGGGCCGGGGCCTTATTATGGGGGTATCATCCAGGAAAATGAGCTGTCATAATACGCGGGGGGAGGGGAGGGGAGGCACGTAGTGGACCGGTTATCCCCTGCAGGTTCTCCCCGCCGCCTACACGACCCCTCTGAGTCACGTCCGGGCCGCGACGAGGTCCCTTGTCTCCCCCAACGCACCGCTGCATTGCGGATTGCCTATCCTTGATATGGCAGGCGCTCTCTCGCCTCCCCGCGCGAAATTCACTTTTCTACCTCCCTTTTCTCTCATGTCTCTCTGCTTCATGTATATATATATTTCGAGTCATGTACACGGAAACATTGACGCACACGGACGCAGCGGAGGCTATCCGCTTCATCGGCACCGGGCCCGCCCCCTTTTGCCCTTCCCTTTTCACTCCCATTGGCCGATTGCATCACCGCCTGTACGCACCGCCCTGCATTGTCCCCGCAATCTGGCCTACCCATCTTTTTTTCCCGCTCTCTCGTTACGTTTCCAGCACTGCGCGCTGTCTCTCTCTCGCGCTCGACGGGGCGTCCCTGAGGGGCGCGAGAGCGACAGAGGCAGCAAAAGCACTACCGTGCGCGGAAGGACTCTGATTCAATCTGGACGAGTAATTTGCTCCGGCGTCGGCCGCCCTTTAACTCCAGGCCGGTCGGCGCACGGACGCCCCTTTGTCGGCGCTCAAAGGGCGCAGGCTGTCCGAGAGGCCCCCGAGAGCGTGGACTTGTTTCGCCATGACCATGAGCCTTCAACTGTTGCAGGTCGTCGCTGGTGATGGAGAAGGGCGAGCCGGCCAAAGCTAGAGCCGCCCGCCGCGTCCTCCAGGCCGCGGCCGCCGACGACGCCGCCGACGACGCCCCCGCCGCCAGCGCGTGCGAGTGGGGCGGCGCGCCGTGCCGGGGGCCCCCGCAGCCCCCGGGGCCCCCGCAGCCCCCGCCCCCGCGGGATGAGATGTTGTCGGCCTACTCGTCCTCCTCCGAGCCGCCAGGCTGGGCGGAGGAGCCGTGGGGCCTGGCCAACGTCACCGCCTACAATGGCACCGCCCCCGGGACTGCCCCCGGGACCGCCTCCGGGACCGCCCCCGGGCCCGGCCTCAGCGACACTCTGCTGGCCACCGTGGCCGCCGCCGCCTCTGGCCTCGTGTCCGGCCTCGCCGACGGCCTGGCCGAGCCCAAGCCCGCGGCCCAGGACGTGTGGAGCAACGCCACCACCGCGGCCTCCGCGGCCACGGCCTCCATGGCGTCGGCCTCGGCCGCCGCCCTCGCGCACAACGCCACCCTCGCTGGCCTCGGCGGCAACCAGACGGCCCCCGCACTGCCCGCCTTCTGCGAGGGCTGGGAGGCCATCCAGAACAACCTGTTCCAGGTGTCCAACCTCTTCTTCTGCATCGCCTTCCTCGTGCCTCGCACCTTCAAGCAGAGCGTGCTGCTGTACAGGTGAGCTCGCCACTGGCAGCGCCCACGGCAAACTGCCTGCCAAGCCCGCAGGGGGAAGGGGCGGGTCGGATTCGTGTCACCCTCGAACGGTTCCAGAGAACCTAGTAGTGGAGCCTGGGCCGTCCTACCCCAGCCAGCCCAGCCATGCAGAGGACCGGCACGGTGGGACCGGACGAGGCCCCCCCCCCCCTCTCTCCCAACGCCCTTCACGCTGGAACGGCGGAGGGCGCCGAAACTGTGCCATCTGTCTTGCGAGGCGCGTGATACGCGTGGGCGCTCCTCCCACTACTCCTGTAATTGGCGCAGTCGTCGTGTTCCCTGCAGACTGATTTCGCATGCAGCGTTCCGTCGCTCTGTCTCTCTCGCACCTGTGCGGGACACCTCGTGAGTGCGAGAGAGACAGCGACAGCGCCGAGGCGAGATGAAATTGCCCGGCGCGAGAAGGGGAGTCGCACTTTTCCTCGTCGCTTCCACGCCACTGCACGTCGCGTCCCTCGTGTTTCTCATCTGCCGGCAATCAGAGGGAGGAGGCAGGGGGAGGGGGAAAGGGTGGCGACCGACTGAAATTACATCGGGAAACTCCGGAAAACACCGAAAGACCCAACAGTTTACCCCGCCCCCTTTTCCCCTCCACGACTCGATATACCGGGGGGAGGGGCGGGAATACCCCTTGTCTATACGATCCGACGAGGAAGCACCCACCGTACCGTGCCGTGTGCGCCGTGTCGCGCCATACGCGCGATGATGCCCAGGGCACCCCGGGCTGGGCGGGCTGGGCGGGCTGGGCGGGCTGGCTGGGATAGCAATCAGAGGGGGTTGTCGCTGCCGCCGGCCACCACATTATTGCGTGCGCGTGGACGCGTGGTATCGTGCGTGTGTGCGCAGGCCCCTGTGTGTGTTTGTGCGAGCCCCTTTGTGTGCGTGTGTGTTTGCGCGAACCCCGCTGTGCGTGTGAGGGTGTGAGTGTGTGTGGGGGGGGGGGGGGGGGGGTCGATGGTGTGTCAACGGACGCGCGTCCACCATCAACCCGTTTGCGGACGTCACAGTCGACGTTACACTTGCTGCTTCTGACTTCTGCTTTGGCCGCTCTGGCGTGTTTCCGTTGTCGTCGGCTTCCGATTTTATTGCCCCCCTTCCCCCCCCCCCTCCCGACTCGGCCGGCCAATGGGTGCGCCGTTAGGCCAATAACACTGCATCGATACCCTCCATCGATACATCGTATCACTGCGCCGCTCCGGGATGACAGCCCGTAGGCCTTGTTTCTGCTCCGGGTCTCGCCGGCCATCGGCTTCCAGTTTGTCTTCACAATGTGTCGTCCCCGGAGAGCGCTTTCGTCGCGCTGTCTCTCTCGCGCCGCTCCGGGACGCCCCATGAGTGCGAGGGCGACGAACGCGCTGCTCCGAATCGGCCTGCTGGAGGGCCTGTAGCCCGTGGGGCTCGCTGTGGGGCTCGCTGTGGGGCCTGTAGGCGCGGGAGGCCGCCGCCGTCCCCTCACCCCGCGAGCTCGCCCGCGAGGCAGTCGGCGCCCGGGCGGCGCGGCGCCACTGTAGGTAGACAAACAACAGCGAGCCGCGTGCCCCTGAGAGTAGGCAACTTTTGTCACCCTCCCCCTCCCCACCCCCCTCGCCAGCCTACTCGTCCCGCCCCGACGGCCCCGACACTCGGAGCGAGTGACCTTCCGCGCGAAATGGGGCTCTAACCTTCCCCCGGTCCCCCCGGTCGTCGCGCCGTGGACTCCCCTAGCCCCCCAGCCAGCCACTGCCACCCCAACACTGCCCCCCCCCCCCTCGACACTATCATCGCCGAGCCTACCCGCCAGCGCACTGGCCCGTCCGGATTACGTCAAATCGAAGAGCGGGGAAATAATGGCGCCTCGGAGCTTCTCTGACGGCCTGTTACGACCTGCCTCTGCCTTGTGTTCCAGGTTCCTGCTGGTGATCGGCTTCATGCTGGCGGCCGGCTGGGCGAGCTTCCACCTGTGCGCCTTCGACGTGTTCCTCTGGAGCCTGGCGCTGATGGCCATCAACGGCGTGCACACCGCCTTCCTGGTGGTGCGCTTTCTGCCGCCCGCGCTGTCGCCCGACCTCACCGAGCTCTACCTCAAGGTGTTCAAGCCGCTCAAGGTGTCCAAGAAGGCCTTCAAGGAGCTGGCCAGGGAGGGCTCGGTGCTCACGCTGGAGGCGGGCGACGCGTACGCCGTGGAGGAGCAGACGCCGGCCGACGAGCGGCTGTCCATCTTGCTCAAGGGGAAGTGAGTACGCCGTCAAGGACCGTGTACATTGTACAGCGACGATAGGCCGTCAAATTTGCCAAATTGGAGGTTTAAGATTTGTACTTTAGATGAACTCTTACGGCACTACTTGCTCGATTTCCAATCAACCAGTACGTCGTTCGATCTAGGCCAGTAACAACTTAACTTCTCCTTGGTAACCCTTAAGGGCGTGGTTCTGGTCCCCATTAGTTTGCAGTCTATAGTTTTAGCTCGAGTACTGTATTTGGAGGTCCTCCTTCTCGTCCACGTCGGTAGCTAGACTTAAACCAGTATTCACCTAGACGAGTAACGTAGCTAGACGTACATCTCTAGAGGCGACCCCATCGGCGCTGTTCCAGGCTGGCCGTCTCCTGTGACGGCACCCACCTGCACCACATCAACACCCACCAGTTCGTCGACTCGCCCGAGTGGGAGGCCAACCACGACTCCAGTGAGAACACCTTCCAGGTAACGACTCGGACGATGGTGCTACACTGGACCATGACCCGCGAATCCTAGAAAAGCGGTTCCGGATCCAAAAGTGACAAAATCGGAGCTTTTCCTTCACTCCCTATCGCCCAAGCCAACGGGGATTCTGCATGCTGTTGGTAGCTGAAAGTACCGTACCATAACAGTAGTATCATGTCGACACCTCCGTCCGACCCGTATTGGTCAAAATTAGTTCGTAGAGTGGATATTTTTTTACATTGCCACGTATTTACTATTTTTGATCATAGCGAAGTTAGTTCGAGTAACCGTCGGCTTAGGAATAGAAATTTGAAAATGAACTCTTTGGTAAAGCCAAGGCAGGGGTCCCTCCACTGCAAGTCAGCAGTCCGTCTGACGAGAGTGCCCGGGCCGTGTGTTCCAGGTGACCATCTCGGCAGAGGAGGAGTGCCTGTACCTGTGCTGGCCGCGCATGAAGCTGTCCAGGGTGCTGCGCCACCGGCCACAAGTCCGCATCGTGCTCGACACCCTCATCGGTAAGGACAACGAACCCACACTGGTAGGGCGTAAAGGTTTTCCAGTGCCTCCTCAAGTGGACTCGAAAAAGTACAGGATCATTTTGTGATCCAAGTTATTTCCAGTCAAGTCACTTCGAGTGTGCTGTGTACCGTGTACCGGTAGCAGCCCGTTCCGTGGCGTGGCTAAGTTCCATCGGAGCAGCGCTCTGGCGCCCTACGACCTGCCGTGCCCACCAGCGGTGTCCCCTATTCCCACACCTGCCCTCCGCCAGCCCCGCCGCACCACCGCGCCCGGCCCCGCCCGCCTACACCGTGAGGATGGCCACGGAACGGTAATGGAGGCGTCCGGGCGGGGCGTGGCGGCGCGGGTTAAGCACGTCCTCCCTGCTTTAAACTGTCAAAGTCATCTTGACAGGGGCGAGGTAGGCCGCCGTCTCCACACCCGTGTGTTGCGGGTCCGAACGACGGCCTACCCCGCAGGCGCTTCGCGGGCCTGAACCCAGCTGACCTCCGCTGTGGCTTCGCTGCTTGTCGCAGGCAAAGACATCACCCACAAGCTGTACTCCCTCAACGAGCAGATGCACGGCGCCGGGGAGCGCGCCAAGGCCGTGCGGTCGGACCACTGGCGGCGCAGCATGGCGCGTTCCGTGAGCGTGGACGCCGTCAACACGGGCACGCGCGGCAACGTGCGCTCCACGGCCTTCAAGGCCGCGCGCAAGGAGCGCGCCAGCAGCGCCGCCGCCCTCGGCGAGGACGTCCAGAACGGTAAGCTGTCTCCCTCGCATCCCCAACGAGTAGGGGAGAGCTCAAATGTAGTTTTATTTTCCACGGCGTGCATTGACGTCGGTGACCTCCTTGTGCCGCAGTGCTGCAGTCTCCGGTGCGCCACGGCAGCGCGCAGTGCTGGATCCCCCTGGTCGCCAACCACTTCCCCGTGACGTCCCCCTTCACGGACGCCCAGGGCATGCCGCAGCCCTTGACGGCGGCGGTGGCCAACGCCCCCTTGGGGGTGCCGCTGGGTTCGCTGCCGCCAGGCGTGCCCGTCTCCGGCGTGCCCACCATGAACGTGTCGGGCGTGAGCGTGTCCGGCGTGGGCGGCGTGCCCGTCAGCATGCCCGGGCTGCAGCTGCCGCAGCTGCCCTCCAGCATGGCGCTGGTCCCCGTGCCCGTCATCGTGCCCGTGCTGGCGCCGCCGCCCACGCTGCACCAGGCGCGCAACCGCACCATGCGGCGAGCGGGCGCCGGCGCCGGCGTGGCGGGCGTGGCTGGCGTCGCGCCCAGCGGCGCCGTCAAGTTTGAGGCGACGCCCGTGTGAGGTGATGAGGGGAGAGGTCGGAGGTGTCCGCCGACCTGCGCCGAGCCCAGCATGACAGGGGCTGCCGCAGTGGGGCGCCACTTGAGGGGCCGTTCACGAGTCCCGGGGAGAGCAACACGTCAGCAAAGTCCGAACAGCTTGAACCCTGGGGGAAATGTTCAGTCAGGTCGACGGGGTGAAGTGGCATTGCGACCTAACACTAGTCGCTGTTTCTCAACGGTTCGCGACGCGCGGCGTTGCTCCCTTTTGTTGCTTGGTGACTGCTGACAAAATGCCTTGCACATGCCTGGAGGAAAGCAATGCAACTGTTGGTGTTAAATCAGATCCAATATTTATAATACATGATTTCTGCTATGTTCTATAAATGAATTGCTATGTTCTGCGCATACTAATGTCATACATACATTGTAATTATGTGTCGCGTAAATAGAATATTATGTTTAAAATCGCTGCATGGAGTTTGCTTTAGGTGTTTTGCTTTAGATGTCATTTGATGTGAAATATTACAGAACCTACAAAATCTCATTTGAAGTGAAGTTTGAGAAAGCTAATAGTTGACTGAATAATGAGACTTCAAAGGGTTCTAGATTGCAATACACCATCACATGCAGTCAATAACAAAAATGATTGGTTCTTCAGAAAGGACTAAAGGAACTGCTTTCAGAAACCACAATGGAATGTTTTAAATGTTTATTTTACAAATAGGGGGACATGAAAATGAAGAAAACAAAACACTACAGCCATGCACATAAAACAAATACTTTCTTTGATGTCAATTTTAAGCAGTAACCTCAGATCTAATCACAACAATGAGCCTTTCTTAAAATGCATATCTGAATGTAAAGAATAAAAAGATGTCAAAAGACTCAGTCGTAGTTTATATAAGGATATTATATTTCGCAACAATGACTGACAGATGTTTCCTCATACGCTGCCAAGATATCAAAGATCACTGAAATTAAACAAGAAAACTCTTGATGCTCAATGAATATTGTGGAAAACACATTTTCCAATGTAAAGAGAAATTTAAGCATTATAATGTTTGATAATTGAATATTTAACCTTCGTCAATGTTGTCAGGAATGATGTACAATTGTTTGTAGAAACAGCAAACAAATATGCAAAGTTTGTGATACTGAGTGACTTTAGATACTGTGAATAAATAAATAACAGATAACTATGATTCTTTTTTTCTTTATTTGTAACACCTGAGCATGATAGATTTTTTGAAAAATAAATTAAGTTTTTCTTTTGGGAAGATACTTTGGAAAAAAAAATCACATCACCATAAGATTGGGTGGAAAATTGCATGATTTGGAAACAGGAGAGAGACAGTTAAGCACTCATTAATACTACAAGTGTGTACATATGTAAATGAGCAAACTCACCTTTGTATGAGCTTTGAAATAAAACAATGTGTCACATGGAAATAACATCTTTTTTATGTAGTATTGTATTGCCAGCACCATAACTACTCCTCTGTTAATTCAGCTGAACAAGTTTACAAAAGTTTTCTTAGAGAAAGGTCCAAGGAAAGCTTTTCATCCATCAACTTGGGTGTGTATAAACTCAACTCAATGCAAAGCTCGCTCTTCCCAATTCTTCTCCTTGACATCTTCTGGCCAACAAAAGTAAACTTCAATATCTTCGATAAAAAATGTGTCTATGACGGCAGTCCAAAGCTTACGAGTCACAGTAACAAATTTAGGGTCATCAAATGCTTCAAATCCCATATAATACAGCTTCATTTTCTTCGAAATCCTTCTCAGGTCTTGCAGGCATTTGCCCACAGCAGTGAAGGAAATGGGATCATCATGCTTTTCCTTCACAACTAGACCAAACACATTTATCTTTGTAGCAAGATTAGTGTATTGATAGACGCTACCCAAACCAAGGCGGCTGGAGTTATAATCTGATGTAAAGCCGTATTTGCTGGCCAGTCTGCGAATCGATTCATTGAAAAAGTTATCCTTACTCGCAATGAACACAAGAGCACAATCTCTTGGATCCAGAGTAGACAGTGGCCCCTTGTGATGAACCAGCTTTAAGTTCCACTTTTGGGGAGGTGCAGCCTCTTGCTAAAAAGAAAAAGAGAAGGGATGTACCATCAAAACCACTCCAAGCACAATTTGTCCTTTGGACAAAACTCTTGCATGAAATTGTGAAGCAGGGAAAGAATACTTACATCAATCAAACAGACAGTAATTTCAATCCCACTTTTGGAAAATTGTTTATTGAGGAGGTTTTTCACTCGGCTCCAGTCAAGTTGATCACGACCACATCCAATTTTGGGAATAGCAATTTTGGTGACATTATGTTCTACACAAAGCTCACTCCATTCAATCACTGCACTTTCAAAGTCCTCCCAGGTTGGTTTGCCAGTGCTTGCAAGTTTTGTCACCAAATAATAAATGTACCGGCCACTACAGTTGATGAATGCAACCTGGCCAGCCCTTTTATTTTGTTCCAACAGTTCTGGGACTTGCCTGAATTTTTTCCTGCACATTTGGGTGAGGATATTAGTGAATCCTTATGATACCATACAACCAAGTGAACAAAAGAAATCTACATACCTGAAATTTACAGCAACACCAGAGCTCATAATGAAGTCAGAGCCCACACAATGAGCTAGAGCATACTCCACAGGCATGTCAAATAAGTCTCCTTTCACTTCCCTAACTACATCAGCAAATTGAGAGCAGGATCCATCTTCCTTTCCAGCACAATCCTTGGAACGGTCCACAGGAGCTTGGTAGAATCTATTCTCATTGGACTTACTTCCATCTTGAGATCTACCATGACCTTCTGAACTCCTGTGAGGATTAGGTCTAGGACCAAGGTTTCTGTTAGGACGAATTTCTTGGTTGTTCCATTCACCTTCCGCGTTAGAACGCCTGTTTCTTGAGGGCTCTGTTGGTTTTGTTCTTCCTTGAAATCCAGCCATTGCTTCAGTGCTGTCTTGATCACGTCCTGTGCGGCTGTCATTGCCCTTCCTTGCAGAATGATGAGGTTTGCCTGACAACAAAAGTAATTACTTGAAAATGAACTTGAGCGGAGTATAACAATACAGCACCACCGCCACCACCTCATTAAAAGAAGATGAGAATTCAAGAATGTTTTTTCATTTAACTTTATGCAGTTCCAATTAAGAATAAAGAACCACCTCTTAACTGGATCTCATATTACAAGGTTTCTAAGAGATTATTTAAAATACAATATGAGAGTTAACCAATCTTACTTGAGGACTCTTCACTCTCTGAAGAATCTACAGAATCTGTTTCATCCTTATTATTAATCTTCTGCAAGGAAAAAGTTAGAAGCACCCCACTATTAGAAACAACAAACTTTGAAAGGAAAGAAGGCAGATAATACATGCATGAAGGTTGGAAACTAATTTAAACAACTTCAAATACATGATCAATTTAAATTTAAAATAATAGAGAAACTGAACCACTGTTGTATTAAATTATGGAGGGGAAATATATAGCAAAACACATAAGGTGAAAAAAAAACTTACAGACACTAGAGATGAATTTCTACTTAAGTTTGCAAGCATCCTTTGAAGAGCACTCTCTTGCTCATCTCTTTCCTGCATTAAAAGAGCATTGATTTCCTCTAAGCCTGAATACATCTCCTCTAAATTCAAGTATTTCTTCTCAAATGTATCTTTCTTGCGCCGACATGCTAAAGCCTCTTCTGTAAGCCTCTCTATTTCTACATTCTTTGCCATCAATTTCATCATCAACTCATGGTTAGTTTTCTTTGCAGTATAGAGTTCACACCCAAGGGCGTTACAGAAGCTGCACTTGGATTGAAGATCTAGATTCAGTGTGGAATAGCTGCAGACTGAGCCTGGTGGTGTAGGTGGTGTCTGCTGTCCATAGGACATCATATACATATCCGGTGGAGTACCTGCTCTTTGATAATGTTGCTGAGGGTTGTTGTGATGCCCTAAACGAGGGGCATTTCCAAATGGTTCCGAAGTAGCTTGATTTTGAGCACGGCTATTGTGTGCCCCACTCATAATGTGTGCTGTAAGATTCAGACCTGAAAAAGAATGAGACCTTTGATGGATGAACTACACATGACATTGTCAATCCACAGTCCACAAGTTTAGCACGGAATCGCAAGAAAAATGTGGCTCTTACTAAGATATCGCATAAACTTGACCAATAAAAATTGTTTGTGCAAGTGCGCCGGCCCTGCTCACTCTAGCCGCATCAAAAGCAGGAAGATAGTCGGGGATATAAGTTGGATCCGTTCCGAAGACTGAACTTGACGCTAACATTTTCTCGTCCATTCACGGGTGGTCAGTAGACACGGCGGGCACATTTGACAAAACCACAGCAAAGTTCGAGGTTAGGACGTTATATAAAAATCTCAACTAATATCGATATATTTCAAGAGCACCACATATCTCTTGCAACTCGGAACAGTACACACTTACACACCTTTATGATAACAAGTACAATCTGTCCGCACATGCAGCGGAGCAGCCACTCAAAGAATATATACCGTGCCTAAATGTCGAAGGGGGAATACCCTGTGCAAACCAAAATCAACAGCATCGGAGCACGCAATAACAACGTCAAATTGCTTGGCTCGGCTGTGCTCGGGCGTTTTGGGATGCTCGGCTTGTACCAGTTCGGTATTTGCAGGATTGGCTTTGCTCCGTCCTGTATCGTGCGTATAGCCCACTGCCAGCGCCATCTAGCAGCGGAAATCGCAAGTGTCGCAGCTCAGCAGGGGAAGGCCAAATGGCCAAATTGGCCAATGCACTGAAAATGCATCAAGAACGGTCCTTGCGATTGCTTGACAACGGTAGCCCCGACTATATTGTTTTACACCCGGGACCACAAAACAAGTAGCCAGGCCAGGAAAGTCCAGGAAAGGCTCTAATCGAAATTAAATCCCTTCACAATCCCTCCACAATCATTACCATGGAGTCTGACTCCATGATCATTACCAAAATTGACCACCCTCAGGTACCAAAATTTGTCATACTAGCTTCAGCAATGGGGAGGGGTAATAAGCTATTATCTATCAAGTTGTGGGATGTATTTATTTCAATGAAATACACTTAATTAATTACATGGTACAAAGAGAGAAATATTTCACAGCGCAAATAAGTAGGTAAAGTCTTTTCCTTTTGACGTGGTTAGACCAGCTCCATGCCAATAGACTAGATGCCAGTTGGAAGAAAACAGCAAACACATAAACTCCAGAAAAAAATAAAAGTTTTTTTGTTTGTTTTTGTTTTTAATTTTTAAGGAGAAATTATGAGACTTTATACATGGTAGATAGGTTCTCACAGAAACAGAGCTAAAACAAAGTTGAAATGGAGAGAAGTTGCAATATTATAAATTGTCTATTTGACACTTAAATCAAGCTGAACAGTGAAAAAACGAATGAATGTTGCAAATAAGATAAGGCAACAATCAATTGGGTATCAATCCATAGAATAAGTAGATCATTAGGTATACCACAACACTGACAATATCAAAAGTCCAAAAGAACCGGCTTTGTTTCCCGTGCGCACTTCACAGCAGACTGTAAGAGTTTTACAAAACCAGTATCTTTTGGTTTTTCAAGACCTCGAAGGAGACGATTCTTCATTACAGCCACAAATTCCCGATTGCTGAGTTGACCATCCACTAAAAGGAAGATCAATCAAAATTAAGGCCAATACATCGCTTGATGGCAAAATGATGTAAAATCTTTTTCAAAATGGCAACACTTACAGTTTTCATCAAATATTGTGAATACAACACTAATAATGTGATCACTAAGATCAACATGTGCAACAGTCTTAGCAACATGTTTGAGGGTAGCTGTAATAAAAAAAAATATATGAAAAGGATCAGAAGAATGAACAAAAAATTAAAATACACATGACTACCAAAGATAAAGTACCCTGGTCAATAGAAGCACCAGCAATATGATAGAAGGTGAGGGCTGTGTCAACATCATTAATGTTGTTTAGGAAATGAAAGAATTTTAAGTAGTCCTCTCTACTGACCCCTGGAGAGCTATGGAACCTACAAATATGTAATAACAAAACAATACTAGAATGTGTTGATGGAACCATATAGGATTTTTGTAATACTGACATTTCTTTCAAGACAACTTACACTTTCTTCACTCTCTTCAAGGTTTTTGTCTTCTTTTTCTGAGGATAGCCGGCATATGCTAAAAGAAGTTCTGTAAAGTCAGCTTCAGTAATATTTCCATGTTCATCGGGATTTTTCCTCTGGAACTAAAATCAGATGTATTGGTCATGCATGAGAATGGTGGATGTTAATACACTATCCACATAAACTGAATTCAAAGAGATCTGTATCAACTTACCTCTAAATTCAGAATTTCCCTTTGTAAAGATTGCTGAAAATCTAGGAATCTTTCAATGGTTAGCTTTTCTGTTAAGTCAGATCCAAAGAAAAATGTTGTCAGGGCTGAGTTGACACCCTGAACAAGAGGTTAAAATGAATGAAAAAAAAAGGCAGAGAGGCAGTGAAAAATGAATTCTAGAAATTGTCTACCTTGAATGTATTGCCAGTATTAGAGTGGTCTCGGTGACGACTCCCAATACTTGTCTGTTGCCTGATAAGTGTGGCAACTTTTTCAAATTCTTCACAGTCCACATCCCCATCCCCATTTAAGTCAAACATACGGAATGCAATTTCAAAATGACGCCTTGAAGCTGTAATATGGAGCAGAGTTTAATAAGGAATACAACACAGGAGATGGCAAAGAAAGGAACAGAAACCTCACAACTCACTTGAAAGAACTGTAAGGAGGAAGATATAGTCCGAGAATGTAATAAGTCCTGCACTTCCCAATTTGTAGAAGATGCTGTCCTCATCCAAAGCCAACTCTAGTTTTGTGTGAACGTCCTGAAATGTTTCAAATTTATTTCAAACTCAAAATAACCTTTTTTTTTTTGCTCTTTTCTAGTGAAGGAAATACAATTTATAGCTTTTGAAGTAGAGAAACAAATTCCTCAGTGGTAAAGTAGTTGCATATGGTAAAATTTGATCAAATACAAACTAGAGATTGATTATGTACAAAGATGATGAGTCCAATAGCATACTTCTGAGCACGTCACACATCCATAATAATTGCAGTTCCTAATGACATACCTCAAAACAAGAAAGAAACTACACTAAGAGTGTGCGTCAGGCTCAATTAATTTTTGATGACTTCTAAACCTATCTTAGCATTTGCTATCAACTCTTGTGAATAGAAGCACGTAAGTACTTTATAAATGTGAGGTCTGAAATTTCACCTTCTGCCAACAATTATTTATACATTGGCACTCACACACACACACAAACAAACCAACAAACAAACACACACACGCACAAACAAACTCACGCATACCAAGAAAAATTTTCATTTCATTCCATGTAGAATACACATTTCTCAAGGTTTCAAAATTATATCTTATAGCAATAACTGTTAACAGAGAAATTGTGTATCAATACCAAAATATAATGGCAAAAATCTAATCTAAAAAAGCAAAAACTAAGTATGATTTAAACTCTGCTCTGTGATCGCATCCAAAAGCGGAGGTTTCAAGAAGTGCTACAAACGCAAACCTTGTGGGCAGAACGTTAACAACTCTTCATATGAACATTTGGTTGGTTTCTACTAGAACATTTATATTTCCATTCATATTTCATGTTTATTTTTCTTATGAGAATTAAAAACAAAGGGTGCAAGGTATTTTAAAGAAAGCCACGAGGTTTGGAGTAAAGTTTACAATGAATGAAAGGAAGCCAACTAGAATTAAGTGATAACCGTAGGTGAATAGAGCTGCAGAAGACAGAATCCATAGTGAGAGATATTTAAAAAGTGACATGCAAAAGACAAAATAAATGCAAATACCAACCCCACTTTGGTAACTAGTAACACACATTTCATAGGAAATCACACACAGAAATATATTTTAAATTACATAAAAAAAGCCATAACTTAAACAATACTTCAATGAAAATATTAAAATAAAAGAGGATTTAAGGTTTTGGACATAAAATTTGCAAACAAAAGCAGTACTAAAAGACAAAATGGGGTTTAGAGTTTTGCAGCGGCATTTGTCAAAGGTGAGAAACATCTACCAGGCACTGAGAAGGAGGAAGAAAACAGAAATAGTACACAATAAATACCTCCGAAGGGTTCTGGAAATTACAGAAAACCATTGAAACGATGAGGTGGCAGATAAAACATGAAACCGCACAACATATAATTAGTGTCAGAAAAGCAGAATTGATCGGGTGAGTGAGAAGTAAGGGATGTGAATAAAAAGTTTGAAAGTAATAAATCGTTAGCGGTGAGTCAAGAATACAGAAGACAGATATATAATGGGTAATCATCCCCCTTTCTACCAAGGTAAAGGTAATCATATTTTGCAAATATAGGAATCATCTACAAAGAAACATCAGGTGTGGTCAGGGTAACTAGGACAATATGCAGTATAGATTTTTAAAAGAGGGATGATTAAATAGAGCTGAAACAGCAAAGTACACAGATATGAACTACTGAGCACAGAGGCATAATACATCATCCAGAAGCATATGATGCTAAAAGGTCTAAGGATTGACATCTGTAATGTGGTATTAAACTGTCTGATTACCAGGTATAGATATATGACATCAAACAAATAATATCAAAACAATCAATCAGATGTCTATGCAATAATAACAGAGACATTCAGCATCAAAGAAAAAGCAAATATGCACCATTAAAAAAGACCACAAACACACAGAAAGCAGTAATGTAAGGTAACAAAGGTCCAAGAATTTTAACAAGATTGTTATTTCATGTTGTTAAGTTTCAAAATATTTATGGCAGATCCTTGACTGAAATTTGTAATAAGAGGCCATTAGGGGTTCTCCAAGCATTGCTGATCAATCTTATAAAGTATACCATGAAATAACAATAGCTTTCTCCCCACAACTTTCTTTCGGATACAGGAGGTTACTTAGTATAAAAAAGACATTTGCTGGAATCTTACCTTTGGATCATATCTTTTGTATCGATCAAGCCCCAAACCTGAGAATGCAAACAGATACAAATATGAGAAAAATGTTACCATGGCAACATTAAAAAGCATGTGCAAAAAGAAAGAGCATGCTTGTAAATAAAATACACAAAGGAAGCAAACAGAAATGTCAAAGAAAAAAAGCACAAAACCAATGCTTAGTGTTGAGAGTGTTATATTTGCCACACACACCTTCATGCAAGTCATTTGAGTTCCAGAACCCATGCTTGCAAACACAAAGAAAAAGAAACAGGGGGAGAAGAACAGATTTGTTTGGTAGGAAGGCTGATTAAGAAAGGAAACCAATTCACAAAAGCACAGAATGCTTAAGGGATTTTTCTGGATGTTTCAGACTTAGGGATTGTCTAACTATGGATAAGACACTCTTAAAGACACTCTTAAATACTTCACAATCGATAACAACAATGCAAAACAAATAAAAAAATATCAACAGGCATTGACTGTAAAAAAGAAACTAAAAATAATAAAAGAAGAAATAATAACTCACTAGTGCTAAATAATTTCATTCAAAACAGATGAACTAATTTTGTTTTTTTCACAAATATTTACCCGGCGGCTGTTTTATTCCTGGAGTCATTGATCGAAGGAAGTCATCAGGTGTCATGAACACTTCATGAGTTTGAAATCCAGAAGAATGGACATGAGTTACTTGAAGAGTTGCGAAGTAGCGGAAAACCTTATCAGGAGTTGAAAATTGGCGGATGCGATTTTCATATTCAATTATCTGTCACCATAAATAAAGCAGTGCATGCATAGATTAATCAAAGTTTTAATGTTGCTTATGGTAAAGGTACAGTAATTAAAGAGGAGCCAATGCACCTCACAGGTTCTCTTCAAGAAGTTGCAGTTCCACTCAAGCCAGAGTAGGTACATAAAAGTTAATGACTCAAAGCATTCAAAGAAGAAAGTTCATGTATTTACTCTCATAAAACAAGAGAAGTGTGCTGATTGATAGCTTTCATGCAAACATGCAAATGAAAGTGATGCTAGCATGCATGTTTCAGTGTCTAAACAACATTGTTACCTCAAAGTGCAATAAAAATTTAAAGGCCAGCGCAGAAATAGATGCAAAATCAAAGAGGCAATTTTTTTGTTTCTGAAGAATTATTTTGGGTTTAATTTGCGAATGAACAACAAAATTAATGTGTGTTTCTCATTCAGAGAAAACGGACAGAATACAGTTTAGCTGAAAATGAGTTGATACATGCCCTACACCAAGAGAAGCATTAGAAGTTGATATTTTACCATCTGGCTGCCTCCATCCAGGGGTGATAGCCCGCAGAAAGTCATCAGGGGTCATATACACCTCAGTCCCCTCTGAACTTTGGACCTTCACTGTGGCAAAATACCTGAAGATCTTGTCTGGGGTAGAATATGCCCTCATGCGATTTTCATATTCAATAATCTGTAGTGCATTTTTAATGGTTTGTGTGAGTTTTTATTTTTGCAATGAAAATGAAGATGCGTATCAACACTATTAAAAACTAAGGCACAAGAAATAAAAACAAATAGAGTGTACTTCTAGATTATTCTGTAATTTTAGCCAAAGGCGAATACAGAAATTCTGTATGGGAAAACCCATGTTCTTTAGAAGAATTAGGGCTTAACATGCAGTGGCCTCAAAGTAGTTTGATACTGGATTTAACATGCAATAACTACATTTTAAACTTATCATCTCTAATAACAAAACGGCAAGCACAATGTTGCAATTGGTATGGTGACAAAATTATTCTACAGTTCGACACAAGATAACTGAAACAACAAATCAATACTTTGTGTGAAATGCACAGGGGATCTTTTCAAAATTATAAACTCCAACTAAGGGACATTAGGAGGAACATATACCTTCAACAAAACTACTGCAACTTGACCTATATGCTTCATTAAAGGAGGGATATACTTACTCTCCTCTCGCGGAATCCTATAGCCTTTTTCTTCTTCTTCTTAGTTTCATCAACTTCAGTCTCTTCAGCTGACGTTTCTCCAACAGAAACTTTTGCGTGCTTTTCCACATCTATTGTAGCAGCATCCACTTTTGGTAGCAAAGACTTCAAGATTCCTTTGCCCTGTTTGAACCATTCAGAACAATAGTCTTTGAAATGAGGACCATAATACAGAACATACCTGAACATTGAATAGAAAACAGAGTAAAATTAATTTACAACAAAAAGAAAAGATAGAATCAGTTTTTTTTTAACAAACAGACAAATGCATACTCATGTAGAGGGATGTATATCAACGCAAGTCCAATGGATAAATATAAAAAACTCATGAACGGATCCCCTGGTCTCCTTTTATGTCCAAAGTCCTGATCTGTTTTATACCCTCTTCTTTGGTATGATGATGGATGGTTGATAACTAGCAATGATTTCCCATTTAGGACAAAACTTTTGTTGGATGCAATTGTGCTGTAAGGTACAAGGTAGCACTGACATATTGGTCCTTTTTTAAGTAAGTTTGCGAGATTTGCAACAGATGTAGGGCTTGGTGAGAAGTTTAGAGTTGGAAGGTGGGTGACAGAGGGCACCCTGCTCACAAACTGATGGGCTCTCGACCACATTTTCCTTTCTGTGAACTGTAAAGAGGGAAATGCAACACATTAATTTTAGGGCCAACGCTCAAACATCTTCAATGATTTACAAATAGAAATATCATCAAAACTTATGGAAAAGGCAAAAAATTAATAAAAACACAACAATAGCCAGTAACTAAATAAAAATTCTGAATGTAGGAAAAAATATTTCGTAACCATAATGAGGACAAGCGAGGTTAGCAAGACACAATGGGGAAACATACATTTTTTGGTAGCGAAATCGTGATAAATTACGAGGCAGAATTCAGGGATGTCAGAAAATCATTCAGTTTCAAAATAGATGTTTGGCGAAAATCGGCTTTGTTCAATCAAGAAAACATATAGGATGCACTGAACTGAACGCAAACGTTTGAGTGGCAGGGTAAAATTGACCAATCACTAGGAAAATATCGAATAGGGAAATCCTAAACAAAGAACATTCATAACGGGCAGTTCACAGGGAATCGGAAATACCTTAAAACGTGAACTAGATCATTCATTCGCATCTAGCAGACAGATAGGGCTCGTGCATTGACGTACCGTTATGTCACTGCCGGGTAAAGGACACGAAAACGTTCTCTCGCGAACTAAGTCTGGAGCAGCCGACGCTAAAGAAATTGATCGAATCTTGAAAATAATCTGCCTCTCGAGCAAAACAAAACGCTGTCTAGAAACAGAAAGTTTTGCTCTTTCACCCAAAGTGCTTCAGAGAGCTTAGTTGATACTTTCTGAAACTAGGCTTGACAGAAAAGAGCAAAGACAATCAACTACATCCATAGACCAACTGCTTCATGCCCGGCTGGGATCCATGTGTTACGCCGCTCCCTGATTGGTCCGCACCTTTCACTTCAACATTTCAAGGTTAAAAACTCGACAAATGTCAATTTTAGTGGGCTGATTGCATTTAGCCTGTTCAAATCTATGTTTCTGGCTCTTGGTTTTTGAGCAAAGCTTGTTGGTATAAATACCAAGTGAAACACAAACAATCAGTTGTCGGCACGAGCGGCACGAGCGGTGTTCCTCCGTAAAACTTCCTCTGAGGCTCTAAAATTAAAGTTCATTTGAAAAATCGAGCCGTTTGATGATATTCCTCATTTATGTCCGCTTCTTTTTCACCCACTGAAAGCAGCTGAACATCAACTTAAAAGGTATAAACTGTTCCACAAGTGTGGCATCGACTGCACCAAGCTGCCTCCGCCAGCGCACGCCGCGTTCTGATTGGTGGAGCTCGAGCCTCCTCGACCAATCAGGACGCGGCGTTCGCTGCCGAGGCAGCTTGGTGACCACAGCCGACCAATGACGAGTGAAGTGGAAGGTACCGACCAATCAGGGAGCGGCGTAACACATGGACCCCAGCCTGGGCATGAAGCAGTTGGTCTATGGATATAGTTGATTGTCTATGAAAAGAGGCGCGGCAGTTCAAACGGGGCTGGAGGGTCAGGCCACGATTTACCACCTTTATTCGAACCTTTGAAGGAAATATTGAAGAATTAAGGTTACGGAGTACTGTTTGTGTGTTGAGGAACGAACTCTCAACATAGATCTGGTAAAAAATCATCAGGGTTTTTAAATATTGCTAGTTTTGAGCGTCTGCGGGCGTCGTCTGCTGGTCTCAGTTCGTGAAATTGTCGCCGCAAACAGACGACAGACGCCGACCGGGTGATAGCGAGCCGAAGCGGGAAATTTGATTTCAGTCTGTCGCGTTCACGAGCACGAGACATCGCGTTTCCAGGTCCAGAGCCATTCACAGATTTCTCGTCGTGTCTTTCACCTCAAAAAAAGAAAACACTTTCTCCCCACCCGCTCCTCAAGCATAAAGCCGTTTTTCTCGAAAACTGACGTGGGAGGTCACAGCTGGTCACAGGTCGCAGAAGCTGGGGGGTGTTGAACACACCCAGCGCGCGCTCACCGTCGTGTTCGTTTCGCCCTGCACTGTGTTGCAAAGCAAACGGCTTTTTACGTAAACAACATCGCCACAATGAGCAGCGACAGTGAGGACTGTTCGGATTATGAGGATGTCCGTCCTTATTTTGCGGCCTCTGAGTGGCATGAGCTGTCAAACTACGAAAGGGGCAGCTACCGTTCTGCAAAACGGAATTTTCAAGCGATGCTGGATGCAGGTATGTGGTGTCACTCGAGTAGCGTTTGAACGCAGTTACTTCAATGGCGGGGCCTTTGGCCCTTTTGCTTGGCGAAACTTGTTCGGCCTATGTCTTTGCTTGCACGTTCGTTCGTGACGGTTTGTGAGCTGTCGCTAACGAACACCCACATCACCTGCTGGTGTTTCGTTCAGGTTAAATTTTAACTGGAGGTCCGTTCTGTCCCTACAGGCCTCAACCCGCGGCCGCCCCAACTCATGGTCCCCGCTGCCCGTTACTTTCATTAACTTTGTTCTTTAATTTTTATGTTTACTGACACTTACATATTTTGCGTCCATAGACTTTTTACAGTGTTGCCCGAAACCTTGTTGATTTCCAGAGTACTATGAATTTTATTTGTCATTTCTTGTGATGAACTTTGAGGCATACGTTAGTTTTTGGTTTTGTTACGTTGTCTGATTATTTTTTCAAATGTTACCAGATATTCAAACTTGTATTACTTGTTGTTTATTTTGAAAGTATATTTTTAACATGTGATCTTGACACTTGTTTTGTGTCTATCTGTTTGTTGTTGTTAATTCATGATTTATAATACCATACTTAGTGCTTCAAAAATTAAAAGATATTTATTTAGGCCCCTCAAGCATTTGATAAAATTTATTTTCAAACAAATCCAAATGCACAGTAAATTAGGAGAGATCACTGCCCGGGCCGTAGAAAGCAATAGTGAGCACATGGCGTCAAAATTCATTTTCTCGAGAACATGAAAACCAAGATCAGAGGACTGTGTGTCCGGTCTGCAGACTGATTCCGAGAATCGCCGCTCCGTCTCTCTCGCACTCGTGGGGCTCCGCTTAGAGGTGCGAGAGAGACGGCGACAAAAACGACTCGGAATCGGTCTGCTGGGATGGACGACGCCGACGATCCCCGCGGACCCCGCGAGCGCCGCGGCCGCGCCACTGCCGTCCACCCACCAGCGGCAGCCGGCGGCCCAGCAGCCAATGCATGGCAGCGCGGCGGCGGACTGCCCCGCCTGCCCCCGGCATTGCCCGGCATGTATGTGGCCCAGTGCCGCCAACAACCAACAGCGCGGCCGGCAGCGCGGCGGCACGCCCTCGGCCCCACGGCACTGCCAGCCACGCCGCCGTCCCACTCGCACCCCCACGGCACCCCCTCGAGCGCGACAAGGACGGAGCGATACTCTTCGGCATCGGTCCGCAGCACCGCCCCGACTCCACCGCGGCCCAGCAGGCCGATTCCGAGAGTGGTTCCCGTCGCTCTGTCCCTCTCGCTCTGGTGGGGCGCCCCGTACAGGTCCGAGAGCGACAGAGCGACGAAAACGACTCTCGGAATCAGTCCGCAGCCGTCCCGCCGCACCAGCACGGGGCACCGCGAGGCTGCGAGGCACGAGGGCGGCGAGGCAGTCCGACCGGACCAGCGCACAGCGCAGCCTCACCGCGCAGCGCGCAGCCTCCGAGCCGCGGACCGCCGCGCACACCGCGAGGACGCCGACGACGACTCGGCCGAGGACGCCGTCGACGACGCGTGCGACCGAACAGCCTCCCCGCGGACCCCTTGACGGCGCGGTCAGCCTGCCGGCCGATCGTTTTATCAGTGCGGGCCGCGCGCGTGTGTCAGTGTAAGTGTGTGAGTGCACGGTCTGGAAGTGCGTGTGTTATCAGGTGGCAGGGCCTGCCTGCTCGCCTGGCCTCCGTCAGCTGGCGCGGCTAGCGCGGCCGGGCCGCTGGCAGTCGCGGGAGGGCCGCGTCGATCGCTGCTCGGGGCGGGGCGTCGCGCCCCGCCGCCCCGCCGCCCCCGCCGCCCCGCCGCCCCCCCCCGCCGCCCCCGCCGCCCCCGCGGGGCGTCCCACGAATCAAAGTAACCGGCCGCGGCTCTCTTGGCTTCCAGGCTGGGGATTGGGCGCCCGTCGGCCCCTCTGCTCAGTGCATCGCGCAGCCTCCACCGCGGCACCGCCTCCTTCTCCTGACCGTCAGGACGACATGACGTCGCACGCCGAGTACATCCACACGTCAGGTGAGTGCTTCCCTCCAAACTGCTCCATACGTTTTCGCGCCGTTCGAACCAACACACAGTAGGCCAGAAGGCCGGTCGAGGCGGCCAAACTTCTAGACGCGTTTTGAGCTCCGGAGTCGCTTTACTACAGGACTCGAACTGAACGAGCCCACCAATGGATTGCTCTCCGAGGAATCCATTGGGTCACACGTTCGGTCTCAAACCGAGTCTAGAGTTTTGGCCTCCTCCGCCCACCGTGCAACACCCCCTTGCGTCGAGGTTCCCGTTCGGACGGTACTCCGTCGTTTTTGTTGCGATGCCGAAAATACAAAATACGCGCGCGGACTCACATTAGAGTCGGCGGTGTGGCGGTCGAGTACCAGTTGGCGTGGCGGTGCCGCCCCCCCCGCACCGCGCCGCCACGCCTCGGCCACGCCGCCGCAGCGACACAGCCAGCCCGGCGACTCCTCGGGCGATATCCCAGCGGATACGCGCGCGCACGCACTCACACACATTCTTGCACACAGACACACTCACTCACACACACACACACGGACACACGCGCTCTTTTCAGCTGGGCCTTACTGCGGTGTGTCGCTTTTTTAGCGTGGTCTGTTTTCTAGTTGGCGCGTCTGTCCACGCGGGTGTTTCCATCCACGGCGGTGGTCGAGGCACAAGCGCGTGAGGCGCGGCGTTTCGCGAAGTCGGCTCCCAATTTGCTTTTCTTTTCATTCGTCCTCCCGTCTCCAGTGCCGCGTTTTTCCTGAATCGAAGGGGGTGGAGGCGTCGCTCTGTGGACCAGAAGACCGGCGCCGGTGGCCAAAACTCAAGACGCGTTTTGAGCGACAGAGTCGAGGGACTCAAAACCGGGTGTGGCGCCCACACAATTGCTCTCCGAACGAGGAATCCGTTGGTGGGTCACTCGTTCGATTCGAGCCCCGTTTCGCGACTCTGGAGCTCAAAACGCGTCTAGAGTTTTGGCCGCTTCCACCGGTCTTCTGGCCCACTGCGGCGTCTCCACGCTACCCTTCCGCGCCAACCGGGGTTTCCTTTACGTGGACTACACTGTAAGTCGCGGTCAAAGGGGTGTTTTGACAAACTGTCGCGGTGCTTGCAAACCCCACACGCACGGGGCAACGGGACACTCCCCCTCGTACGGTTTTCTTCCTCGCGCCCAAGTTCCCCAGAAGTCGCCAAACTCTACTGTTTACTTAGCCAGCGGGGCGGGGCGGGGCGAGGCGCGGTGGCACGCTCTCCTTTCGCAGCGTGACAGCAGCAGTTCCAGGCCCTTACCGTCCTGGAGACTGCAGACTGATTCCGAGAGTCGTTCTCGTCGCTCTGTCTCTCTCGCACTCATGTGGCGTCCCGAGTAGGTGCGAGAGGGACAGAGCGACGAGAACGACTCTCGGAATCAGTCTGCTGACTGCGAACAGCGCTTCATCGCTGTCTCTCTCGCGCCCCTGCGCCGCGCCCCACGACTGCGAGAGAGACAGAGCGACGACGGCGCACTGCTCGGAACGGAACCAGCCTGCTGGCAGGCCCACTGTAGGGGTGGGAATCGTGGAGGCCAAAAGGCGAGCCAAAAGGCACACATGCTGAAAACGGCGCGTGTTTTACGAGGCGCTACACGTCAATTATTTCTAGATGGGCCCACGGAAAAAAGAAAGGCTTTTACGAGGTGTGGATCGGATTTTGATGGCCCCTGACGACGAGGGGACTCACCCTGCCCTGAGCACCGGTGAGGTGCGACGAGCGGCCTCTAAGCGCCCCCCCCCCTTCCCCCTCCAAAAAAGGTGCTCTTGAATCGAAATAATAATACAAACAAGTGAAATTACTTAAAACCTTGAAGTAAATTCGCTTGTTCCACCGGAATTATGCATCCCGGTTCAAGAAACGACTTTTTCGGGTGTGGGAGACCGAGGACCGATAATCCGGTCAGACTTAGAATTCTCGATTCACCTTTCCCGTTTCTGTTTGTGTTTGCCGTGGGTGAGCCCGCCCCGGCCCGCTCCAGCTCCGGCGTGTTTGCCGGCCGGCAGTCCAAAGGGCCCTTCGGCCTGGGTAAAGGGCGGCTGGAGAGTGGCGTGGCTGCAGGCTGCTTCCCAGTGCTTTGTCGCCCCGTCCCTCTCGCTCCCCTGCGGGACGGCCCATGAGTGCGAGAGAGACAGAGCGGCAGGCCGCTGGACAACGGAGCAGTGCACTGCTAATGAGTCACTTGCAGACTGCGGCGATGTGACTCACGCTATCGGTGCGTGACGCAGTCTGCCAAAACGGCAGCAAGGCAAGACTATGCTGGTTCGATTAGTCATTTAAAAAGTCGGATAGTTGGAAAGCGTCCCGTCGGAGAGGGCTTCACGGTGACCTTTGCCTGGGGCGCGTCTTGGCCCCTCCAAGCTCCAGCGCTCCGTCGGGGGTGAGAGGGTCAACTCTGTCGCTAGCGGCGTTCGAGTGTCTTATCGGCGTCAAAGTCAACCAGTTTCTAATGTCCTTCGGGAGGGGGCCTGGCCATATTTTTGTTGTCAAACAAGTGCACAACAGGTCATTCTCGTAGACAGCGATATCGGCCGTGTCTGTTCGAGATAACATTGATCTACGATCGTTTTTCCTTCACCTCGCCCCTCCGGCCTCCACGCGGCCGTCCCTTCGAACGAACGCCTTGTGTGCCCTGCCCTTCAGACGGAGGCCTAGCCGGGCCGAGAGATTTGAGTTAATGTCTGGCCTAATACTGCCTGCTCCGAGGTCTTCGCCCACTCTTCCGAACTGCTACTTTGGTTTATGGGGCCAAACGTTGTCAACGCTGTCTTCTGCCCCTTTTCCCCCTCCCCCGCGTTCGACTCCGAATGGGGTTCGACTGAGCTGGATGGGCGTTAGGGGTGATTCTGGATCTGACCCGGGGTGGCTCGGCTCACCTCTTTTTTCTCCACCCCCTCTTCCCCTTTACCCGTTCGTCCAACAGGTGCCGAGCCGGCCCCCACGGGAGCCTCCAAATCGCTCTTAATTTTTTTTCCTCCTGCGACGTTTTGTTTCAAAGCCCTTGTTGTTGGTGCGTTGACAAACGGGTTGCGTTTCGCAGAAAGCGCAGCAAGCAGTGCCCAAGGCAGCGCCCCACATTCGGCCAGAAGACCAGTGGCGGCGGCCAACACACTCGTTTTGAGCTTCACAGTCAATAAACAGGACTCGAATCAAACTTGTGATCCCACCAATGGATTCCTCGTTTGAAGAGCAATTCAGTGGTGGGGTAACACGTTCGGTTCGAGTCCCACTAGGCGACTCTGGAGCTCCAAAACGCGTCTAGAATTTTGGCCACCTCCACCGGTCTTCTGGCAAATCCACTGTGCGCCCCTGACGGAGCGTCGCGCCAGAGTAGTCTTGCTCACTCATTCACCATTCAGCCCGCCTAGGATCGCACTCTATCTCGCTTACTGACGCCTTATTTTCAAATCCGACAGGCCGGCGATGCCAAAGAGCGCAGCCGCTCGAACGCACGGCTGGCTTGAGCGTCCGCGCCGATGCGGCGATGTGTGGCGATGTTGTTGTGTTAAATACGTTATCGCTTTATTGGTTCGACGGCGTGGCGGGCCTGGGCGGGCCCCGCCACCCCCTCCCCCTTCCCTCGCCTCCTCCAAGATAGCGCGGCCGAAGGGACGGGGATGGGCAGTGCCTTGGCAGTGCCTCGGCAGTGCTGTGAGAGAGAAGGAATAACGCAAGAAGCAGCGAGAAACCCATACTCTGATAAGATAGCCCCTTGGCCCGGGTTCGTGACCCTCCCCCTTCCCCTCCTCGTCTGGACGACGAGCCCCGCTTGTTGCCGCAGAGCGGGGCCACGGGGCGGCCAGCCTCGAACGGGCCGCCCTTTCCGCGAGCAGGCCGCGCTCCCCGTCAGGCTGAACAGCGCCCTCTCTCGCACCCATGGGGCGTCCCGTAAGGGTGCGAGAGAGACAGAGAGCGCCGTGCGCGGAATCGCTCTGCAAGGTGGACCGCGACGTCACGGCGGGGGGCGTCACCCCGTGATGGCTGCGCTGGGCAGCGGCAAGTCGGACACGGTGCTGGACAGTGACGTCACGACACGATACCCCCGTGATATCGGTGTGATGTCACGGCGGCGATAGCCACCAAGGTGAAGGGCTGATACGGCGTGGCGTGGCGGGGCGGGGCGGGCGGCCGGCTCGCCCAGATATGCTATCGCCCCCGGAGAACAGGCCAACAGGGGAGGGGGGCTTGCAATCAGCTGCATGCAACGTACTACTACTATGCTCTACTACGGAAGCGTCGCGGGTGGCGCTCCAGCGTCGTCCAGGGGTGCAGGGCCGTGCGGGGCGCCGTCTGAGCGACGGAACTCAGCTCCAGGCTGCCGTCGTAGCTTTGCCTCCGCTCGGGCCGGTCGGGCCCTGCACCGGAACAGGCCAGCTGGTCGGCAGTGCACAGTGCACTGTAGGGCACGGCGACCTATAAAAGGGCGAAGGGCCCCACCGGTTGTTTTCATTCACGGTGGCTTGCGGCACGGCGACGCGGCGACGCACGGCGCAGGTGGCTATAAACTCTCCGATTCCTGACCAGCACAACGACGTGCATGCCCAGCGCGAAGGCCGTGCAGGCCGGGCCGTGCACCCCAGGGTCGCGTAGTGGGCAAGGACGTCCTCGGGGGAGCCGGCCGCCGTCGGTCCCTTTGCTCTGTACGGCCTGGACGACGATCTGCTCGACGGACTTCTGGTTGGCCAGAGCGACGGCCTTCTGGATGGCCTGAGCGACGGCCTGCTCGACGGACTTCTGGTTGGCCAGAGCGACTGCCTTCTCGACGGCCTAGACGACGGCCTTCTCGACGGCCTTCTCGACGGCCTGGACGACGGCCTGGACGACGGCCTTCTCGATGGCGCGTCCATGCGCGACGACGCGGAGTCCCTGGGGGGCCTTGCCATTCTTCGCCGTTCCCACGACGCGCTGGCCACAGCCGCTACCTGCCTTTGCCGCACGCCCTGGCAGTGCCGTGCCCTGGCAGTGGGGCCCCTCGGCCCGTCCACGTC